TAACTGACCACACTCCATCCAAGATGCATCAAATACCACCACTTTTAACAACAGAAGACTTGTTTGAACCAGCAGGGAACAGTACATCGGTCCTTACGAGGACCGAGACATGACTCCCACTGCAATTTACTCTGCCTTTGTGTCCTGGATTCACTTTGTTTTTGTCCGTCTCGCTCTAATATCACTCCAAGTCTGCCCTTTTTCCGCTGCTCTTCATCACTGCCCGTCTCCGTCTCCGTCTCCGTCTCTCCTTCTTACCCCTGTTAACTTTGTTTTCTCTTTCTTGGTCAGGCGAGAGGCACACCAACGAAAGCTCAGCATCTTATGTTGGCTGCGGTTATGAATGTTGGTGAAATTCCTAATTAATTAAGACAACAAAATGTCATAACGATGCCAAGTGGTCAACCGCCAGTTCTCTGTGGGTCTGTCTAAATAATTGCTCAACCTTTTCAAGAATTGACCTATGGATTTCCACCACATTTTTGTAAGCATAACTACCAAATTTCCACCCAAGTATATGAAATCGAGGGCTCCACATATTCACTCATGATGAGTCTGCACCTGCAGCTTACAGACATAAGTTTCCCTTTGTACAAAGCTTATGTGTCTGACCTATACCAACAGCTGTAAACTGCTCTCTTTATCACTAAACAGCTGCAGTGATGTGGCACTGAGAGTGCTACTTTTATAAAAGACAGACTTACTGATAATCTATTTCCTGCAATCCAACCCTGTTACCAAATGCATCACTGTGCACACATCTAGCCATGAAATTACCCTGTCACTCAACATGATCTGTCCACTCACTCCACGCACCACTGGTTAGACATTGTGCTAGTGTGTCATTGATAATGACTGATGTCCGGAGGAGTATGCAAGAAACAGGCCTCCGTAAAGGAAAGCTCCAGAAAGCTGCACAATTGACTGTCGATCAGAACCTGTGTGATGCTGTATGTAGATATCATTACTAGAATGACATGCCCGCAGTAACTAAATGTCGACGGTGCTCGTACAATGACTCTCTTGTTTCTGCAGATTTCCATCGGGCACGTTAACACGATGATTCTTTCACGACCCGAGAGAGATTTTGATGAAACCTTTGTGGCACAGTCTATTGTCTGGTCTCAAATATGCATTTGAAAAAGTGCAGCCTTAAATAGGACATTCATGGCCAGCGTCAGTGTTACTGTACACTTTGGTATTCAAGCCATGCTCAAAAGCGGCCCAGTGTGCCGCCCACACCCCTGCACAGACAATCACCAGACGAGAACATCAATATTAGATTAGATTCTACAAAACAGTGTCTGTGTTTTTAATCTATCAATATCTTTGCGTGCCAACAACGCTATGGTCAACGCTATGGTCAAGATATTGTAGCTTCGATAAGTAAACTACAGTGAAGAAATAGATAAGCAAGTCAAACTTGATACAGCACACAACCATACTTTCCACCTTGCTACATACAGGGCAAACTGCTTTCCCTATTAGCACATGCAATTGCCATTAGAAACTATGAGACGTGAAATCAAATATCGCTGCAATTCTTATATAATATACATAGTATGGGTTATTACAATATAATAATGGGCCGGGACAGATTACACCTACAGAAATGACTTTTAACTGGACGTGATGAGATTTGACCGTGCTCTTGCAAAGGTTCATCTCCGCCAGCTCCTCAGTGATCGCTGCAGACAGGTGTGGAGGCCATCGTGCTCTTGGTGTAACATCTTTTTCAAAAGTGTGTGCAGCTTACAAGAAAGCAGCGGCTGCGGGTAAAAACTACCCTTTTCTGAAAGCACTGTTTCAGATAATGTACCGGTTTATATCACACAGTCATTCTAAAAACATGTGCCAGAGGATGTGCGGCCATCTAAGGACAAGCTACAGTTACCCAACCAAAGAGACCTCTTAAACGATTACACTGACCGCGTTCATACTTGAAACCACTCAGTGCCCTGTAAACATTTGCGCACAATTATTCTCTTACTCGGGTCTTTTAATTTGTCACCCATCTGTAATAATTGTATTAAGCTTCCATTTGCACAAACATTAGCTAGAACGTTTCTCGAAGCTTCTCTTCTGACAGCAGTTTTTAAAAAGCAACTATAAAAGAATCATTCCTGGTTAACTCTCAACCTTGAATCTCTACGACTGTAACGTTTCATACCTGAGGTTCATTATTACTGTTCACATTACATACATTATATTATATATTATACATTATACATACATTAATATTAATTTAATTTATGTACACTTTAATTACCTATGGCATACTTACTGCATTGAGCTGCATAAATCTTAGGTTAATGAAGTATTTGCTGTGACAGCGCTGTATGCAAAGTTCAAAGCGGTTCCCTGATGTTTCACAAAAAATATATATATATTTTTTTTCAATGCACAGCCAAAGGGAAGTAAACAAAAAACAAAGAAAGAAACCCCAAGCAGAGCAGGCTGTAGTGTAACAAGGCCACAGATCTGCCACTGTGATTTTTTTTTTTTTTTTTCATTTGTGCAACATACATTGTTGTCTACACCTAATCTCCCCTTTCCATAAACCCAAAGAAAAAAAAAAAAGAAAAAAATCCAAAAGAGATTGTCTGGGTTTTATAATAATGATTCTCCATGCTGTATGACTAAAATGTAAGCTTTTATAATCTCCCATTTTAAACACATTTCTACTCTGCATATCTGTGTGTGCGACACATAGAGGAGGGGAGAGGAGAGGAGGGGAGGGGAGAGGGGAGGAGAGGAGGGGAGAGGAGAGGAGGAGGGAGAAGGGGAGGGGAAAGGAAGGAGGAGGAGAGGAGAGGGAGGGAGGGAGGGGAGGGAGAGGAGGGGAGAGGAGAGGGGAGAGGAGAGGAGAGGAGGGGTAAGGAGGGAAAGGAGAGGAAGGAGAAGGACGGGAGGGCGGGGAGAGGGGGGGAGGAGGGGAGAGGAAGAGGAGAGGAGGGGGAGGGAGGGAGAAGGGGAGGAGAGAGGGGAGAGGAAGAGGAGGAGGAGACGGGAGAGGGAGGGGAGGGGAGGGGGAGGAGAGGAGAGAGGGGAGAGGAGAGGAGAGGAGAGAGGCAAGAGGAGAGGAGGGGGGGGAGGGGAGGGGAAGGGGAGGAGAGGAGGGGAGAGAGAGGAGAGGAGTGGGTATAGGGGAGAGGAGAGGGACGAGGAGGAGTCGTGAAGAGGGAGAGGAAAGGATAGGGTGGAGAGAGGAAGGAGCGGAAGGGAGGGGAGGAGGAGAGGAGTAGAGGAGGGGAGGGAGAAGGAGAGGAGAGGAAGGGGACGGGGAGAGGAGAGGGGGAGAGGAGAGGAGAGGAAGGCAAGAGGGAGAGGAGGGAGAGAGGAGGGGAGAGGAGTAGGAAAGATAAGGAGGGGACGGAGGAAGAGGAGAGGAGGACCAGCGCGGAGGTGGGGAGAAGGCAGGAGAGGAGAGAGGAGAGGAGAAGGAGGGGAGGGGAG